TTACCATGCGATTCTCCACATGCGACACTGGCGGCACATTCGCATTGTGCCTGTTTGGAGATGACGCAGCTTCAAATGCCGGTCAAACCGGTGTGTGGACATTGTTTTGAGTCACCGGACTGAAGCTGCTCTGATCGACTGGATTTCAGTCAACAGCCGGATGGATATGAGCCGTTAGATTGGCTGGCTCGTTCCAGACGTCGACGTCGTGCGAAAACAAACGGTGACCGTTTGTCATTGCGGCCTACGCATCCATGAACTGCAGCAATGGTTCGGTAAATGATGAATTTTACCACAAAGTGAACGCATTCCTCCGTTACAGAAAAAGCACGAATACCGTGGTGCTTGCTGGTGATCTGAACGCCCAAGTCAGAGAATTGTCCTCTGATAAGCTTTATCAGGGCGGCCAACATGGTTTAGGCTCTCGCAATGATCACGATGAGCAGCTGCTGTACCTATGCGAAGACGCTCGTCTCTTCCTCGCGAGCAATAATTCACGACACAGCACTCGCAGAAGAGTGACTTGGCTCCCACTAGCGCCAGACCAGCCATGGATGCAAGTCGATCACATCGCGATCAGTTATCTCTGGAGAGCCTGCGTCCAAAAATGTCGCTGGATTTGGAGCACGAGCGTAGACTCCGATCACGCTCTTGTGTGTGCTGGCCTTCAGGTGCGTTTCGGCGAACGTCCGCAACGTCGCTGTGCGCGCAGACACCAGCCAACTGGTGAAGCCAGATGTTCTGAATGAGTATCAAAGTACGCTGACATCCGGGCTGAGCAAGCACCACTGAACACCGTCGAAGATCACTGGTCGCATATTCGCTTGACGTTACTATCAGCAGGCATGTCTACATGTGGTAAATCAAATTGCCAACCTGGACATTTGGTCTCTACAGTCTCCACAACTTTTGGATGCTCGCTCGCGAACTCCGGCTGGAAGCGAACACAATGAGACTCGCAAAAACCTCAGGGCAAAACCGCGTGCTAGACTGAAGAGAGACCACGAAGTCTGGTGGTCTCATCGTGCATCGGAAATGGAAACAGCTGCTGCCGTTGGTAACCATCGTTTTATTCCAGCTGATACAAGCAACAGGCAGCAGGAGACCCGGTGTTAGCGATGCCATACGCGACGAGAGTAGACAGCCGATCCACAGCTTGTCAAAACACCTGTGGTGTTGGGCCGAACACTTTGAGAAGCAATTCAATCAGTTGGAATTGTCAGCTTCTCCACCGGCCATTGATCGTCCTACTTCCGGGGCCATCCCCGTTGATCCGCCCTCACGCACAGAAATCGAATGTGAGATCAGACTGTTGAAATTGAATAAGGCAGCAGGGGCAGATAGAGTTCCGCCAGTCCACTTCAATTTCGGAGGACACGAGTTACTAGTGGAACTGTGGGAGCAGGAAACTGTCTCAACAGACTGGAGCCTCTCCGTTGTAGTCCTAATTTCCGAGGGAGGATCCCGTTCGGAATGCAGCAATCATCGACGGGTCAGTCTGGTCACAATTGCCTCGAAATTGCTTGCGTCTGTCGTTCTCCGCAGAATGACTGGCATTCGTGAAAGTCAGATCCGCGAAGAGCAAGCCGGGTTTCGTAGAGGTCGGGGCTGCATCGACCACATTTCCCCTTTGCGTCAGTTGTTGGAGCACTGCCATGTTTACTGACGACCCACCGTAGTCGTTTCTTGAAATCAAAGGTGCATTCGATTCGGTTGATCGATGCGTCCCTTAGGACTGTCTGCTGAGGAAAGGAGTGCCCTAAAATTACGTAAACATTAACAGAGCGCTGTACGCGTATAGTTCGGGTAGAGCGACGATATACAAATAAATAAAGAACACTTTATTCTCAAATGTTTCGAGGTACGTCAAACAGGCCATGATCAAAATGGCATCGCGAAATGTCGCCTCCCTTCGACGTCTCAAGCGGTGTGAGACAAGGTTGCCCGCTGTCACCTTTCCTCTTTAACTTCGCTATTGACGAAGTCATGGAAACAACGTTTACTGGACACGACTTACAAGGTATGGAGCTGCTTCGTGGTGAGCGACTTCTTGACTTGGAGTATGCTGACGACATTGCCATCTGTGACAGCTCCCAAACGTGTCAAGCAGTATTGGACCGATTAGCACCGGCTGTCAGTCGTCTTGGGCTATGCTTTGCTCACTCGAAACGCAAACCATCTTTCCAAGACTAGCACAGACCAACCTCTGCGTTGACTCTCGGTGGTGATCACCTAGAAGTCGTTAAGGAATTCAAGTACCTGGCAGCTAAGTTAATGCCAGCAGGATTAAAGATGAGGTCAGGAACCGTATAAGAAAAGCTCGAGGTGCTTTTGCCAATCTCAGCCATCTGTGGGAGCAGACGCGACCTCACTCTCGCCCTGAAGGGCAGAGTTTATAATGCAGCCGTCCGTTCGACCCTCCCATACGGCTGTGAAACCTGGCCCATCAGATCGACAGACATAAAGAGGCTCGTCACGCTGGATCCTCGCTGCCTTCGCAGCTAAGCTTAGGTTTAGTGGGAACACTGCGTGAGCAATGAATGTGTTCGATGTCGTGTATTTGGTGCTGGAATAGCGAATGAACCGCTCAGCACCGTTATATCACGCACCATGCTCCGATGGCTGGGTCAAGTGTTGCGCATACCAGACTACCGACTCCTGCGACGTGCGTTGTTTGCGCGTCCGGGATTTGGAGGGAAGAGGAGGGGAAGCCAAGAAATGACTTGTTCAAGAGGAATGAAAACCTTCACTTCGAAGTTGGCGTCGGTAGATGCATCATGACTGCGGGGCTAGGGTCCGAAGGACGATGAACACGAATGTTTGGACACACTCGCTGATGGCTAGGAGTCGGTCCCAAAAGCGTTTGTGGTTTGAATTTCTTTGTTCATCCCCCTCCAATCATGATCTCATAGCAAATTAATATGATATTTAACATTATATTACTTGATTTTCTGACCTTTTTGTAGTGTTATTTTTGATAGCTTTATTTGTATTGCGACACATTAGTTGAGGCGTTTCTCACTCTCAGCTATCGTGTACTGATGATGATGACGCTGATCACTTGATATCACGGTCGAAAACGTTGAGTTCGGTGAGGGAGTTCGGGGGAACTATGACACAGTTCTGCGCGCCGTGTAAACCGGTATGAAAACCGAGCAGTTACATAGAATCCCAGCCACCTTCAATCACATCTCCGTGTGAAGTTAATGTCGAAACATCAGCTTCGAGAATTGCTATGTGAAGAATTCGTTGTTATTTCACTTTCTACATCGCAATTCGTTAGTCCGTCCTAACGTTGTGTAATGCCGACGTAAAAACGAGTTTCCCGGAGTCGTGAAAACCCAACTAAGACAATGGATCTGAACCAGCGCAATACTACGAAATTGCATCGATATTATTAAGTTCAAGTGAGAACCGAGAAAATATCAGGATCAGCCGTTAACTTGTTTAGTTATCAGGTAGATTCATCAATCTCATAGGTATCCCCGTCTTGTCACGGAGTAAGTGTTATCTACTATCCACGGTGCCGGTTCCTGAGATACCATCCCATTTCTCACTACGAGATGATGATCGCTGTGGATCGAACCTACAGATACTGTCTGAAAAGTCCGCCCATCGTGAAGCAAAGTCAGACAACATGTCCGTCGCGATACTATTCACAAGGCAATGAAACAGTCACACTCATGCTTGTCATCACGTAACAAGGACACGTGAATTATATCGAATACAAGTATGGCGAGCAAGTTGGATTTCTAGGCAGTTACACTTTGAGACGCAGCGCGTTTCCAGTAATGCGTCGATACCTCACTATGGGTGCCAGAGTTGTAGAGAGTGTATAATCCAATTAAAAGCTTAATTTCTCTCCGAACTAGATTGTCGAGTTAAAGACACGGTATCCCTATTCTTCAGAATATTTGTAACTCGGGATGTGGATATTCAGTTGCAGCCAAATCACCCAACTCGGAGAACTACCGAATACGGTATCCCTATGCCCACACCCCATCACTATTCTAACACAGAATTTTATGTGTATTATTTTTTACATTTCCATTGTTTGACATTCCACGTATTTATTTCGCACCACAGACATATCCATGACTCATGAAGATCAAGGCAATTCATCGTTGATAGACTTTCGATTAGCGAATTGCTGCGCTAGAACGTTTCTGCACGCTTCTACGCCTTCCAGTGTCTATCGATTTTAATTACGATCGCAGGCCTATTCGTAAGTTGTTTAGTAACTTTAATTTGAATCACAGAATCACGGTAAAAGGAAGCTGCTTTATCTCTTTTGTTCAGACCATGCGTAAGGTTTGAATTTACTAATCTACAGTTTTCCATTGCCGCCTTGCGAGTTACTTGGTCTAGGCTTCGCATCCTCGCTACACGCAGTCCAAATTTTAAGTAACAGTGGAAAGTAGTGATGGGTTGCATCCGTTTCCAATTTTACCTGTCAGTGTGACTACGAACAGCCGCAGAGCGCTTGTGTCTGACGACGGTTGGGAGCCACGATGGATTCGGAACCGACCAACAGCCCTTGAAGATGCATATCTATAACGTGAAATGTTAGAAACATGCGTGTCAGGTGAACGCATGGTGGTGACCAACCCATGTCTCATCGCATGGTGGATCCCTTGTTTGAGCTTCTAAATACTACGAAGACTGCGCATTTTTCGGAGTCGCCGGGACACACTAATCGAAGTTGTTGCGTCCGCAACGTCCACATCGTGCAGCGGGACCTGACATATAATGTGAGGATAGATGGCAGGCCTGCAACAATACAGGCGTACACAGGTTCACTGGTGCACTTAAAGTCAAGTCCGAGTAACGGCTATCGGTCCTATATGGCAACATTCTTGCAACCAACAATTTTGAAATAACTATTGGCAATTCGAGAGGCGATTAAGTTGACAAGGAGCCGAAACCACTCATAGTTACGGCCTCCATCATAACTCGGTTTAGAGGCAAGCACAAAAGCCGCGTGTCCAGACCACATAAGTGAAGGGAACAGCTCCAGTACAACAATGGATAATTGCAGGCGAGTGAAATTACCGCGGCCACAAGTTGACCTTTATTATGCAGCTGTTCAGCATGCTTGGATGAGTAATGGGTAGAGAAACAAGTGATTTTGTCGTGTGAAAAGGCGAGCAAGCATAACTGAGAGAGTAGAGCAAAAGAGATACCAGGTGTGAGAAGAAGAACTAGTAACAACTGTACAGCAGAGGTTAAAAGAACAGTCGCGCAGCGAGTGGAGGGAGCCTGGTCAATAACAGGATGAGCACCTGTAAGCCAAGTACGGTGTGTGTGAAATTAACAAAGCCTAGAAATGCGAGCAGATATCTTGGAAAAAATAGCAATAAACTTGTAAGTGATGCAGGCCGTGTGGCTGCTTGTTGACGGACGTCTGGGTGTAAGCGACAGAAACGTTTGATAAGTTGCGGAAGTAGGAGCATGATTAAAGCAAAGAAAAGGGTGCTGTACAGAGAACAGAAGAACAAGGAGATTGATACAAACATTGAGTCGATGGAGAGCACAATCTCTATCGGGATACGGTGAGATCGGCAACGGTGAACGAATTACAAGTGAATGTGGAGTTGCGATAGCATGGTGGCTAGTTGCGGGGGACTGCGTCGGTACGAGAGGAACAGTGGTGTGGCGGAGGTGAGAAAAGATGAGCGAACAGAATCGAAAGTTCAGCGACATGCTAGGCATAGATCAATAGAGGATCTCGTATACTGTGGCTTTGCGGTCACCGGAACCACTTACAAGGAATTTGTCATCCAATGAAATGTCACAACTAAGAACTGAGGAGTTTTCCTTTAGCTGAAAGAACGAAGGAGGGGACAAAGAATTGGCAGATAACTGATTGGCGAATTAGATAAAGTAATATAACAAAAGGACGATACAATCATAATTCATGAGTGAAACCAAAATTGCTGAAAAAACAGGTGATGCTGTAATAGATCACCACATGTAACTGAGAATGAATGTCAAAAAACGTAGTCACACGTCTTATTAGAGAAACCAAATTGTCTTGCGACCTGAGGACTCAACTTCACGCTAACTCTTCTAGCGTTCGCATTTCGACCCATATCGGTCAACAAGTGGCGCATGCTGCAAGGCCACATTAGTCTGGGTGGATTTGTGCGGTGCGTCTAAAAACAGAATTAAGGGAGCAGCATTGCTATGCCACTTCGGTTACTTGACTAATCTTAGTGTAGATGACTACAATAGACAAGGAGACGTGAATCTGTAGAAATCGGTCCCGAGGAGTTAACAGCGTACGATTAGGCTGCGGAACGCAACCGGCGTTAATGGACAATGGCAAAACATGGTGACTTTATGCTGAATGCATGAGCATCACTATTGGATGAGGCCCGACGAACGTCAAAGAGAATTCTACCAGTGAATCACAGCATTTCGAGATAGCAAAAAGGAGCAACATATCAACAGGATACTCTGGATACTTCTAGTAATCTCATCAGCTGTTAACATGCAATCCGTGGAATAATGGTGTTGCGTTTGGAAAGGAAACAAGGTCGAAAATCATTCAATTTAAGTCTGGACGAGTCAAGAAAACTTACCAAGGCAATTCGATGCTGCTCATAAACTCAGTCTGCAAGCATAAATTGGATTTCAGCCGCCAAATCGCTGAAGCTCCAACAAAGTGAAGTAAGAAAACATTGCTCTGTCGGTTAATTACCGTGAACGAGTCGCGGGGATTTTGATGTATGGAGCAGTCTAGGATGTGCTGAACAATGGAACTTGACGGCAGCTTGGGACTATTCACGAGCATGTTAGGTGGAAATTGCTCTGAAATCCTAGTCGACAGCCTTCACTCTCAATTCGTCCCACGTCTTTGCTACCACAAGTACAATGAAAGAGGTAAAGACATGAGGCTGTAACTAGAGAGTCTGGCTTATCCAGATTGGGTTTACATAGAAACCTCCTTACTTGGTGCAATAACACGAGTTCGGTGGAGAAATAACACTTTTATATCAAATAGCGGAGACGGTGCCGGAATCTTCTATCACTTTTGCTCCCTTCAAACGGTAGCGTAATGAACACCCTCTTTTTAGGAGCATCAGTCAGTTGTTTCTCCTCACTTTCTGTATTTGCGTATTGTACCATAAATTTCTAGGGGTATCCGTTGTCACGTAGTGTTGGTGATACGTGCTCCAGCTCGGTGCCAATAGAATCTTCAGAGTAAATGTTGCGAGTACTCACGAAGGCAGTGTGAACCAACGCTCGTTTGTAGTTTACAGGACAAAAATGTTGAGCTTGAGATACTGTGCTGTCCAAACAGGCTTTAGATACACGGATCGAGTGAGCGTGCCGTCAGAATTCATCTCCAGCTTTACAACGAAAAAATGTAAGGTGTTATCCATTTCACTTTCCATCGTCAATTTGATTGCAGGGTGGCATGCGTTCAGAACATCGAGTAGGTACGTTGCCTGCTGAGCGGCATTTAACAAAAAAGGTGTCATCAAGATATTTATAATAGACATACACATTTGCATGCTGTCACGTAGCGCAATGTTCTCCAAGTGGCCCATGAAAACATCAGCCAGGACTGGACTAAATGGGCTACCCATGGTCATATCATCAATCTGACGATAGATTACCCCATTGATTAAGAATTGAGTGTGTTCTGTGCACAATCGAAGTAGTACTTAAGATGATCCGGCGGAAATCCCACTATGTCAGCGTGAATGCCCATGATATCTAAGGTCTCTTCCAGTGGAACGTTGGTGAACAATGAGAACACAACAAAAGAAACCATGTATTTCTTTTGTCGATAAACTCGAATGTAGCTTTGATAGCGTGTGCAGTTAGATCACGTCAAATAGACTAGATAAGCTGGGCCAGCTATTGTGCCAGTTTCTGACACGGTATGTTTATCATTAAGACGACCGGAGGCAGAGAAATGTTCCCTTTGAGCCTTTGGTACATTTGGGGAATTTAGCTCCGAGTGCGCAAAGCTATGCATCGTTTTCAAGTCAATCAATTCAGCATTCGATAGCTTTTTTAGTTCACGAACTATGGACCCTCCAACTTGCTCAGTTATGTCACGAACCGTTGACTAACTAATGAAGCGAGTAGTGTCTGACAGATTTGACTACATTTATTGGACATAGATTTGCTTTTCCATAACGATTACTCCTGATCCGTTGTCAGGTGTCAGTATTACCACGTTTCCATTTCGGCGCAGATTCATAAGCGATTTTTAGTGATCCTTTGTTAGAATACTGCATTGTTTGGTCTCAGCAACACAAAAGTAGTTAGCTAGATTCCACCGCCTTAGCTTTTAACCAAACGTATGCATCGTCGGCGGCTGGGGTCGAACTGGACACGCGGTCATACAAATTCTGGAATTGTGCCTAAACTTCTATTCTGTCGCATTTCTTTGAATACTGTTTATCGCAAATGCAACACCATTATTTCACGGATTGTATGCTAACAGCTGATGAGAACACCCAAAATAGTTGAATTTAAAGTATCCTATTGATATGTTGTTCCTTTTTGCTACCTTGAAAATTGTTAAGGGAACATCCGGCATAAAATTTCAAAATTCATAAGAATGACGAAAAGCAAGGACCAAGTGATCGTCACTGGCAGCAAGAACACCGAAGTGAGTATCAGCATGTCCTAAGTCGAGTTGAAGTAGGCGTTTGTTGCACTGGCAAATGTGCGGTTTCGTCTGTTGGGAGCCGACAAAGATGGAGTTCGGTGGAACATTCGGGACAGCAGAACCACGTGAGAGTTCCTCGAGATGAAAGACAGAGCTCACATCTGATTATCTGAGATGCAGCCGGCATGCGCATGCACAGAACCAATAAAAATATAGCAGCATTCACTGTCTACGAACAAGGATGTAACCTGCTACCGAGCTGGTACAGCCCTGTCTAAATCATGCGGGTTTCACCGGCGCCAGTACACTATCAGGTCCCAACAACACGGTCGCTATGCGGAGACCTAAACTACTCAGTTCAGAGTGGAGCTCTTCTTACGGAAACGGCCGCCAAGGGTCCACTCATCCGCGTAGATCATAACGGAGTTGTCCTCAGTGAGAACGCAGCCAACGTCAACCAGAACAGTTTCCGCCGAAGCCTCAGTCTCACTATCGTATCTTCTGGACTCTCCTCAAGTCAACAGTCTGTCTCCTGAGCTGTGTTCATGCCAATGCCGTAGCCACCGAGCACCCTCAGCAACTGTGATGTGCCTAACGTCTCGACAGCATAGAACCCACCCCATCTCTACCCGGAGATAGGACCACTACATGGCAACCCATGTGGCAACAAACATAGGCTCTTCGTTATAGTTTATACAATTGCAACTGTGTTAATGAGCTATAACTATGGAGATATAGAAAGTACGGTTGCCTTGGTTGAGTCAGTAAAAGCACTCTTACCAGTCTTCTTTCTGCGGGTTTCGGTACAGCCGTGTAGAGTTACGCGTTTCGTCTGCCTTACCAGCTGCCGGCAAAGTACCCTAGCCGTTCCAATTCGAATCGTCTAAGCCACTCTGTGCGTGGGAACCAGCGAGTGGAGTTCGCTCGCTCCGACTAGGACAGTCATAACTCAAGTAGGACGTTTATAACCCAGTCCCAGAGGCAGAAATCACACATGCAGTCAAGCAAACGATACAATTTGAGTTCACTGACTTGTGCCTAACCAAATGGTGCTATAATAGCAGGGTGAATAATTCAATCCATCGACTCGGATAAAGCAGAGAAGAAAGCTGTCGGTGGAATCCCGAAAGGGGAACTGGAGATGTGGCACAGCACTGCGATCTTGCAAGTGTTAACACATCAAGTCCAGAGTGAGAGATAGCGTTTCTTGCTGACCGATATGACAGAGAGCTCCGAAGTGGAAAAACCAATACAAAATGAGATTCTAAACTTAAAGAGCGATTCCCGCACATGTTAACGCAGCTTGGGACTGCAAATGAAATCGGTGATAGAGTTTATGAAAGGATGATACTTCTGGACTTTACAGCCGACACAGGGTATGAACGTTGAAAACATGATCAGCTTTCCTAGTTGGTGTAACTGACGAAATCCGAGCTGACCCCAGCCTTTTCAGAAGAAGGTTTTATGTGAAGCCTCCCACCTCTAGCCACTCCACGGTCGGCCCAAGAAGGCAGTAGAGGAATAAATCCGACTCGGAAGTGAGTATATAGGTATCCGGGGTTTGGCTAAGAGCTAGTTGCACGCAGTCCAAGGTTTGAAATAACGCTTGTGTGCTTAGCGGCGGCATTAGATTATACGCTTGAATTAGCGCTGAGCTACGTGTTCATCGTAGATGCGGCTTCTGGTCATTTACCAGGATTGTCCTCTGGACAGGCATCTGAAATTGGCAACCCTTGACAAGAAGAACCCAAGTAGCACACTATGAAGGTTGGAATGGTTTCATGCCTTTAGGAGGTAGCAACTCTTGCACCGCTTTGACACCCCCTAGCTCTTCTGAGGAGAGAAGATGACCAGAAAAATTGCCTTAAGCTCCCACAGTTCGACTTTAGCACATGCACATATTGTTTTCTTCGAAACTGACTTTGCGGGAAACGGCGACACGACACGTCGCATCATACTCTTTTCCCTAAGCTGAGTTATCGACAGCAATGGGGCGTCACGCTCTCAAGATCCTTGGGCTCTTGTGTTTCTAGTAGTTTGAGATGGGGATGCGGAATTAAGCAGTATAGGTAGGTAGCTTTTAGGTGGTTGCAAATACTGCAACGAGAAGTCAATCACTATTTATGGATAGGTGACAGAAAGTGGAGGGAATACCTACTTTTATGAGATATGTAGCCTTAGCGAGTGTAAT